ACATTTCAGCACTACTTAAAAGAGAAAATTTAAATAAAACAGAAGTAGAATTAGCCAGAAGGGATATAATGGCCGGTGCTTTCTTCATTATTCAAATTTAATTTCAAACCTGCAGTTGCCGAATTTAGCTCGAATTCACCATTTAGAAATTCAGTATCAAACTGGCAAATTTTTCTGACACAAGGCGTTGTTTTATAACTGATTTTCTTTTTGGATCTGCTATTATTTCAGTTTATCTTTAATCCATTTCTTAATTCATTGTTTTTGAAATCTCTTCGGTACTTTTTTTTAAATTGCTCAATTTCGCTGCTTTTCTTGCTGAATTACTAATCGGGCATATTCCAGAGCTTACGGAGCAAGCTCGATTATTCTGCAGTGAAGCAGAAGAAAGCAGAACTAAATCGCATTATCCGGAATTAATGCTTATACGAGTAAAAGGTAGCGCTTCTATTTCCCCTTTCACCTTAGTTCTCCTAGAGACGCGTTACCTCTCGAGTTGGAAGTACCCATCCGCTTAAAAGTTTTGCCTATCTTTACGCCGGCTTTTTCCAGTTTTAATGCTTGCGTTTTGTGTGAGTATTCAATTTTGACTAAGTGAAGTTTTTGTCAAAACCCCCACCTTATTTCGTTCTTAGTGTGAGGTGGAGGCACTCGAGAAGTAGCCCAAGTGGTAACAAATACCAACAGCAGCCACCCACTGGCGAGGCTGTCGATGACTCCATCTTCTCAGGGTTCCTTACAAGCAAGCAAATTCGGGTGTGCACAGAACACAAGCATCAAACGCTTGACTCCCTGGCCTGTATGGATTTACCATCGAGACGAATATTAGAAAGGTTGGTTAACTGCGGTTTTATTACTTTAATATTATTGAAATGGCAAGGAATTTGGATGAAAAGGAAGAGAAGTGACCAGCAAGATAGATGCGGATTCAACTGTGGGCGCTAGACGTCACAGACACAAAATTGGAAGTGGAGTGAAGACGAGAAAGTTCGATTCATTATAGCGATTTCACTTACATAAGCATATTTTTGACACCCTTCTGGCTAATTCTACTTCTGTTTTATTTAAATTTTCTCTTTTAACTAGTGCTGAAATGCTAAGTTTAATTTCGCCAAACAACTAAATGTTTGAGGAGAGAAAGCGATCGATGTTTGGCTTGTGGTACGAAACCACACTTCAGTGCATGGATATACCGTATTCATGCTAGTGACTCTGAATCGACTGTTCCTCTACCATGGCAAGTACTCGAGCCTACTAGAGTGATCCAAAGTAAGTCGCTGTGAGTACGAATCATTAACTTGAAAATAAAATAACTGAATCAAGAAATATGGAACTGCGAATGATTTTAATTAGTTTAAAAAATTTGAAAAAAAAAGCCATCGGAAGCTTTACCAGTAGAAAATTGCTTGAAATGTGTCACCAATGGGACTGTA